GGAAGTAGATTGCCCAATCTTCCTTCTGAGGAGTGGCTGGTGGGTTTGAACTGCCAGCCTTCTGGTTAGCAGTCAAGAGCCTTAGGCACTATGCTACCAGAGCTCCTTATCTTCTGGTAATATAAAATATTCTGTTGTGATCCATAGAGTCTTGATTGGCTAATTTTCAGAAGCAGATCCATAGGTTTTTCTTCCTTGTCTGTCTTAGTGTGAAAGCTCTGTTGAAACCTTTCCATGGGTGACACTGCTGGCATTTCAGTTCCTACTAGCATATATTCCAGTATCACAGTAAGACATAAGTCACCACAGTAGGACAAACTGACAGACAGGTGGTAAAGAGTAAAACTAGGAAATCAAATTGGTTTAACACTTAAGGAACCTGGGCTGTGCAAACAGTTAGTGTGCTCAGTTGTTAACTGAAAGATTGGAGATTCAAGTTCATCCAGAGGTGTCTCATAAGAGAAGCCTGGCAATCTAATTCCAAAAGGTCACAGCCATTGAAAACCCCATAGAGCACAGTTCTACTCTGTGACACACAGGATTGCCATGATTTGGAATCAACTTCACAGAATTAAGTTATTTATTTATTCTCCCTCCCTGGGTATTGTGCAATATATAAATGTCCTGATGAGTTCCATTTGAGTCCTGTTTTTTGCCTGACCATGCTTAGGAGCCAATTTCTCCACTGTGATCAGTTAATTAACCAGTTCATTGTTGCCGGCCAGTAATGATTCGGTATTATGAATCTCACACTCTTTCAACAGGTAACATACCTCACGCATGCCTGCATGGACCTTAAACTGGGAGACAAGAGAATGGTGTTTGATCCTTGGTTAATTGGTCCTGCTTTTGCACGAGGATGGTGGTTGCTCCATGAGCCTCCCTCTGATTGGCTGGAGAGGCTGTGCCAAGCTGACTTAATTTATATCAGTCACATGCACTCAGATCACTTGAGGTAATGAAGTCCTGAACACTCAACTCATAAGAGAATGGTACAGTAAAGATATAACTGGTTTTCAGTTGTTTTGCTTTATAATGTCTAAGAGTTCCTTTGCAATCACTGCTCACTTTGTAGTGGGTTCATTTGGAAAGGTGGAAAGGAGACTAATAAGTATAAATACTACATTGTCATAGTAATTTCATGCTTGTGAAGGTGTTTTCACATCCAAATATTTCAGGAGGTAACATATAATCAAGACAAAATGGTATTGAATGAAGAAATCCAAGCTGCACTGAAGGAAATGGTGAAAAGCAAGGCTCTAAGAATTGATGGAATACCCATTGAGATGTTTCAACAAACACTGGAGGTGCTTACTTGTCTATGCTAAGAAATCTGGAACATAGCTACCTGGCAAACTGACTGAAAGAGACCCATGTTTGTGTCCATTCCAAAGAATGGTGGTCTAACAACATAGAAATTATTGAACAATATCATTAATATCACACAAAAGTAAAATCTTGCTGAAGATAATTTAAAAAATTGTTGCAGCAGTATATCAACAGGGAACAGCCAGAAATTCAAGCTAGATTCAGAAAAGGCCATGGAACAAGGGACCAGGTGGATCATAACAAATGATGGATAATGTTGTGAAGAACGGAGATCCCAGTACACTGAACTGTGCTAACAAAGAATCTGTACATAGACCAAAAAGCTGTTGTTTAAAAAGAACAAGGGGATACTGAATGAAATCAGGAAAGGTGTGTGTGAGCTGTATCCTTTCACCATAATTATTCAATCTATATGCTGACCAAAGAATCTGAGAAGCTGGATGGTATGAAAAAGAATGTGGCATCAAGACCAGAAGAAAACTGATTAAGAACCTGCAATATGCAGATGACATAACCTTGCTTGCTGAAAGTGAAGATGACTTGAAACATTTACTGATGAAGATCAAAGACTGCAGCCTTTTGTATGGATTATACCTCAACATAAAGAAAACAAAAATCATCACAACTGGACCAATAAGGAATATCACAGTAAATGGAGAAAAAAAATTGAAGCTGTCAGGGATATCATTTTACTTGGATTCCACAATCCAAGCATGGAAGCAGCAGTCAAGAAATCAGACAACATATTGAACTGGGCAAATCTGCTGCAAAAAATCCTGTTATAGTGTTAAAGAGTAAAGATGTCATTTTGAAGTATGCTTGACCCCAGCCGTAGTATTGTCAATAGCCTCATATGTATGTGAAAGCTGGACAATGAATAAGGAAGACTGAAGAAGAATCAATACATTTGTATTGTAGTGTTGGCAAAGTATGTTGAAAATACCATTAGCTGCCAAAAGAATGAACAAACCCGTCTTGGAAGAAGTACAGTGGGAATGCTCCTTAGAAATGAGAATTGCCAGATTTGGTCTCCTCTACTTTGGTTCTGTTTTCAGAAGGGAACTTTCCTTTGAGAAAGATATCATCCTTGGTAGAGAGTCAGCAAAAAAAGGGAAGGTCCTCAACGAGATGGATTGACACAGTGGCTGTGATGATAGGTTCATGAATAGCAAAGATTGTGAGGATGTTACAAGACCAGGCAATGTTTCACTCTGCTGTACATAGGGTCTCTATGAGTTGGAGCACCTAACAACAACAAAACTGAGTTGGAGTCCCTGATTGGCTTAAACATTTGCATGCTTGACTAGTAGCTGAAGGGTTGATGGTCTAAATTCACCTAGAAATACCTCAGAAGACAGTTTTGGTGATCTGTTTCTGAAAGCTTGCCTTGAAAACCCTATGGAGCAACTCTATACATGGGGCCACCAGAAGTAAGAATAGACTCCAGGGCAACTAACAACACTGAGTTCCCAACATTTTAAACCTGGGTTGGTCTCATCCAACACTTGATTGAAACCAGAGCCAAATGATATGATAGAAACTGAAACTTCCCTAACTGAGCAATCAAAAAGGAGGGAGAAAGAACAACTTAAGCTTAAGAAACAAAATAATTTTCCAAATGAACTGCATTACTGGAAGAGAATGAATCATATTCTCAACCCCTTTCCTTAATTACACAGTCCTGTGCTTTCTTTCTTGTTTTGAAGTTTTTATTATTTCTGGTGATGGCCAATATAAACACACAGCAATGCCTACAATGCTCTAGTGACGAAATTTCAACTTTTTTTTTTTCCTGTGAGCCTACGTGATAAGCAAAGTTCACATGTAGGACATTCTTCAATGGAAATGTCCAAGGCTAGTACATGTTATCTCCAAGGATTTGTTGTTTCCTGGTTGTCTGGCTCTTGATTTTCTATTCCAAAGTATATGGAATTTTTAAGATATGAATATACTCTGATTTGTTTTTTAAAGGAAATATTTGCAAATAAATAATTACTTGTTTTAGAGACAAATTACCTTCAACACAGCTCATAATTAATAACAATCTACTAGTATATTGTACTACTATGATTAAAAGGAGCTCTGGTGGCATAGTGCCTAAGGCATTGGCTGCTAGCCAGAAGGCTGGCAGTTCAAACCCACCAGTCACTCCTTGGAAGAAAGACTGGGCAATCTACTTCCATAGAAGTATGGAAACTCAAGGAGAGGTCACTATGAGTCAGATCCAACTCAATGGCAGAGAGTTATGATTAAAAATTCCTTGTCTACTACATGATATCTTTGTCCCACACAAGTTCCTAGAACTAAATTTGGACAATTTCAGGGTTATAAGAACTATGGGTTAATGTGTTACGTAATAAATGTGTGGTGGTAATTTTTACAGCTTGTGTAGGGATAAAAATATCATGTGAGTGAGGTGAGTGCTTTATAGTGTCTATGAAAAGATGCAGTTGCCTAATGTCTTAATGAGATAAAGTCTGTGGAAATATAGTGATATGCTGAATTTTAGAGAAGGTAAGAATTTTAGTCCCTGGGTAGTTTAGTTAACACATTTGACTGCTAACTGAGAGGGTAGTTGGTGGTTCTATTCCAACACACAGGGGATCATCATGAGTCAGGGTCTACTTGATGACAACTAGTAAAGTACCCCCCAGCCACTCCTCAGAAGGAAGATGGGGCAATCTACTTCCTTAGTGATACTGCCTCGGTAACCCAAGGAGGGGTCGCTGAGTCGGGTCTGACTTGACGGCACAAAACAACAACAACAACAACAACAGTAAAATAATTGTAGTGTCACTTATTTCCTAACCACTGGCCTAGAAATGAATTTAGTTTTAGTTCCAAGGGTTTGTGTGAGCAGAGGTATGCCATGCATTGGAATACCAGGTCTCAACTGTAGTATCATCACACATTGCTGTGCAGTGTATTGCAAATAACTTAGTACTAAAAAGTTACCAGTGTTTGCAATTTTCACTCCTTTGGGTCTATCTCCTTATTAGACCATTAATCTTGGATTCTTGGCCAGTGAAATTGTTTCCTCCCTTTTGACATTTATATATAGAATAAAACTTCCCTGATTCAGAAAAAACAGGGGAAAAGGCAAAAGTGCTTTAGTAAATAGTCTTTATTCAAAGAAATGTGATTTTAATATGTAAAATAGAGTATTGTAATACCATATGTTATTAATATATAGCCCTCCCCCCCAAAAAAACTCACTGCTGTCAAGTCAGTCCCAACTTAAAGTGACCCCTTCTTGGGTTTCCAAGGTGGTATCTCTATGGAAGTAGATTGCCCGATCTTCATTCTGAGGAATGGCTGGTGGGTTTGAACTGCCAGCCTTCTGGTTAGCAGTCAAATGCCCTAGGCATTATGCCTCCAGGTCTCTCTCTCTCGCACACACGCGCGCTCTCTCTCTCTCTCTCTCTATATATATATACCAGTAAGATGTTATTAATAGATACCAGTAAGAATTATCAACAGTTAGTTAAATAAATCACAAAACAATAAATATAGATTTTAGAGTAATTTGTCACAACTCCCACAGTATTTTAAGGCATGAGATTTCATTGCTGGACCTACATATTCAAGGAACAATGAAAAAAACCCTAATTTTTTTAAATTCATTGTTTCAGGGAGGAGAATAAGTCTACCAGTTCTTCACCCCCCAATTCTACTATTTGGATAGATTTTAATACAGTGTTGGAACTTGATTGTTATTAATTACAGTTAAGAGCTAATAAACAAATTTTGCTTATGCTTTTTTTATATTACTTTGTCTGAGATTATAATCTAGGTACAAGTTTGATTCTTCCACCAATTAGTACACTCATTAAAATTGTGAACTATCTTATAATAGAAGAAACACTAGCTTTAGGCTTAGAAAACTCAAATTTGAATATTAAATTATTATCTGTTATTTGTATGTTTCTGAATATTTTTACTTCCTAATGAAAACAATAAAAAAAAAAAAAACCTCATAGTTTTTTTGAGAGGCTCAAATTTTAAAAATCTGAAATTTCTCAGCACCATGCGTGAAATATAATAGATACCTAGCCATTGATTTTTATTTTTTTTTTATTGTTCATCCTTCTACCACAACTCACAGTTGTATACCATCCATTTATATAAATAAATGCTTGATAAATGAAAATCGAATTAATGTATAGTATTAAAAAAATACTTGGATGACTGAAAAATCAAAACAAAAAAAATACTTACGTGATTAATTGTGTACCAAGACAAGAATACTACAAATGTTCAATGTAGTTTTCCTCTATACTGTATTGTCTTGCCTCACTGGTAAGCTCTGACCCTCCATAAGGACAAAAGACACATTCTTTGGCTATCAACCTTGGAAGAGTGGCTATCGATCTTCGAAGTTTGGAAAATTATGACCCACAGCTTTACCTCATCCAGTGCCATGTCCCAGTCCTCTCTTTCACTGGAAGATGGCTGCTTGAGAAATGACAAGAAATGGGAATCATGTTAATCTTCACCTGTCCACAATCCCTTCAGCATGATTTTCCCGCTTTGTGCCTTTTATTAAAAGCACCTCTACTCAAAGCAGCAGCAGTATAGAAGATGTTACTTGTGCACTTGTTTGTGATATCATATAGCATGTGATATGTTCTAATGATCAAGAGGACTCTTCCAGAAAACTCCTCTCACATCATTACAGTCCATCTTGAGCAGAAACTCTTCTGAACTCTGGCAAGAGTCTGTTTTTTCATTTCCTTGCTTCTCATTTAATATGTTGGTATAAAGAGCAAACTGTCTCTTGTACTAGATGATATTATTATTTTGTTGTGTTTTGTTTTTTTAACCTTTCAATCTTTCCATCTATCTGATCCTAGTTACCCCACACTGAAGATGCTTGCTAAGAGAAGACCAGATATTCCCATTTATGTTGGAAACACGGAAAGACCTGTGTTTTGGAATCTGGATCAGAGTGGTGTCCAGTTGACCAATATCAATGTTGTGCCATTTGGAGTTTGGCAGCAGGTCAGATATCTGTGTTCTTTTCACACTTCCCACTTATACTTTCCAGTGTGAATTTTAGGTGAGGTAGTAGCTTTATGATTAAGGAGCAATGGCCAATTTTGTGTTTACTTGGTACAGTGTAAATACAACCTTTATTTGAACTCCAAATGTCGGGCAGAACTGCCCTTGGTAAAGACATTTTTGTTTCCATTTAACAATAGTATAACTGTAGGACAGGTTAATAAATTTAATTCTGAATGAGGGCTATTTCTGCCAATTTGCATTAATAATTTACCAGTCTTTCCAGAAGACTTACCAATTTGTGTGTGTATGTGTGTGTGTGTGTGTGTGTGTGTGTGGTTTGGGTGAAAGTTTGCAGAGCAAATAATTTTTCCATTCCAAATTGATACACGTTTTGTTTTGTGACATTAGTTGTAATCCCCACAATGTAACAGCACTCTTCTCCGCTTCCATTTGTCCTTCTTTCCTGCCCTTTCCTTCCTTCTGAGCTTTATTTTTGGGCAAATGCTGCCCTTTGACCTCATATGATTGGTTGATTGTTCTGAGGAGTACATTTCTCCCTGGTGTTATCGTTCACTTTATAGGCCTGTCTATTGTTTGCCTGAAAGTTAGTCCCGGGGGAACTTATCAAGTCTTGAATTAAAACCCAAACTGCTGTACACAGCTGTTGGTTTTATTGTTAAATTTCAGGTTGACAAGAAACTTCGATTCATGATATTGATGGACGGTGTTCACCCAGAGATGGATACTTGCATTATTGTGGAGTACAAAGGTACTTTCCTACCCTCATCCATAATGGAAAATGAAAAATCTAAAATTTCTTCCTATGATCATCTTTTTATTTTATCTTTATTTTCATAGAATATAATATATTCTTGTCTTAAATAAATTGTCTAACATTATCTAAATGATATTTAGGAATATCACTTAGATAATTTTTATAGAGGCTATCATTTAGATAATCTTTATACGTTATCTAAATGATACCAATATTATAATCCTATCATTTAGATTACCTGAATGATACCAGTATTATATACTTCTGCAGTGATACTGCCTGGGAAACCCAAGGAGGGGTCGCTATGAGTCAAATCCAACTCAAGGGCAGTGGGTTTTGTTTGGTTTTTATTGATTATATTACATGATAACATTTCATACACATCTGCCCCTCATGTGAGAAGATGAACTTACTGACCTAATGATCAGTTGAATATGAGTTTGGTCTGGAATTTGCAAAAGGTTGAAGAATTCTTGCTGATCTAGTCACTCTCCCCTAGATCCTTTGGGCTCAATGTTTGGTGACAGTTGGCTGAGGTTAGGAATTCAATATGATACTGCCCGGAAACCCAAGGAGGGGTCGCTATGAGTCAGGGCTGACTCAACAGCAAACAACAACAACAACATAATTGTGGAGTGAAACCAAACTAACTGTCCCCATGAGACACCTAGGACCCACCAAATCAAAAGGATGAACTTGTTCACTTGAAAATTCAAAGTATGCTATTTGTGATGTCAGTTTTTTTATATCAAACTCTTTTTTCTTAGACATCAGCAGTTCTTCATAATTAAATAAATCAGATTATATAGTTTATAACCTATATGTTGTTGTTGTTATGTGCTGTTGAGTCGGCCTCGACTCATAGCAACGCCTCCTTGGGTTTCCCAGGCGGTTATCACTACAGAAGTAGATTGCCCAACCTTCCTTCTGAGGAGTGGCTGGTGGGTTTGAACTGCCAGCTTTCTGGTTAGCAGTCAAGTGCCTTAGGCACTATACTACCAGAGCTCCTATAATCTATATAGGTTTAGTAATTCAAACCATGATTTTAAGACTTTACCTTGAATATTCATACCCCTTTGTTTCTCCATAGGTCACAAAATACTCAATACGGTGGACTGCACCAGACCCAATGGGGGAAGGCTGCCTGTGAGAGCTTCTCTCATGATGAGTGACTTTGCTGGAGGAGCATCTGGCTTTCCAATGACTTTCAGTGGTGGAAAGTTTACTGGTACTATTTTTTTAATCAAAATAATACAAAGCAAAGGAGCCCGGGTGGTGCAATGGTTAAGTGCTCAACTGCTAATAAAAAGGTCGGTGGTTTGAACATACCAGCTGCTCTGTGGGACAAAGATGTGATAATCTGATTCCATAAAGATTACAGACTTAGCAACCCTATGGGGCAGTTCTACTCTGTCCTGTAGGGTCACTATGAGTTGGAATCAACTCAATGGCAACAGATAAAATAAAGCAAGGAGTTCCTGGGTAGTGCAAATAGTAATGCATTCAGCTACAAAGGGAAAGGTTAGAGGTTTGAGTTTACCTAGTGGTACCTCAGAAGAAAGTCCTGGTGATCTACTTCCAAAAAATCAGTCATTGAAAACCTTATGAAGTACAGTTCTACTCTGGCACACGTGCTGTCGCCATGAATCAGAATCAACCCCAAGACAACCAGTTTACTAAAAAGCATCAGTTTGTATTTAGCACTTTGTTAAATGCTGTGCAAAGGAATATAAAAATAAAAGACATGGTTCTTACCTACAAGAAGTTCACTTGGGGAAGTTGACTTGTTGATTGTATTTTTGTTGTTGTTTGTGGCTTAGGAGATCCCATGTGATATAGAATGGAACTGCTCTATGGGGTGTTTTTGGCTGTAATCTTTATCGAAGCAGATTACCAGGGCTGTTTCTTCTGCAGTAGCACTGGGTAGTTCAAACCGTCAGCTTTTTGGATACCAGCCAACTGCAAACCATTTATGTTACCCAAGGACCTTGGATGCTGACTTGTAACAAACTAAAGCCAACTCAAAATAAGATAATGAAACATAAAGGAAAGACTGAGAAGCTCAGGAGGAGGCAAGGAAAAGATTCATTTGGATCCATGGTGTATACCATACAACAATATAGGAAAGGTGTGAGGTTGGTAATCCAGGCTTAAATGTTCTTGGGAAACTGAAAACCAAAAACCAAACCCAGTGCCGTTGAGTTGATTGCAACTCATAGTGACCCCCATTGCGTTTCCAAAGTGGTAACTCTTTACAGAAGTAGATTGCCCCATCTTCCTTCCACAGACTGGCTGGTGGGTTTGAACCACCAGCCTTCTGGATAGCAGTCAAATGCCTTAGGCACTGCATCACCACAGTGGTTAAATGAAAGGACACTTAACATATTACAGCCAACTTCAATGACCCTAAATAACTGAAGTCTCACATTAAAATAAATTTTAAAACTTCCCTTCAATAAAAATTAACAAGTCAAATTACCCTATTACACTATGCTTCTCCAGGCACAGACCTGCCTGTCACTTTCCCTAAAATACAGCCACCCTCTTCTCTGTCTTCTCTTCTTTGTTCCTGCTATCTATAAACCAAAAAAACCAAAGTCACTGCCATCGAATCGGATCTGACTCTTAGGGACCCCTTCTTGGGTTTCGGAGGCAGTATCACTATGGAAGTAGATTGCCCAATCTTCCTCCCGAGGAGTGGCTGGTGGATTTGAACCACCAGCCTCCTGGTTAGCACTCCAATGCCTTAGGCACTATGCCACCAGAGCTCCTTCCTGCTATCTAAAAGGGAGAAATTCTCAAATTCAATACCTCTGCCCAAGTCTGAGTTTTATTAAATATATGATGTTTTGTGTTCACCAAGGAGGTCCACTTGAGTTCTAAACAAGTTGAGAAATAAAACTAAGAGTAAAGATGGAGCAAAAAATATCAGTTTTATTACTGATTCACGTCAGACTGGAGGATGTGGCTTTTCATCTGTTAGTCACGTGGGTCTGCTAATCCTAAATCCTAGAGTTAGACAGAATGATTGGCCCAATCTCAGGTAACACTGAACTGGGGTAGGCTTCACCTGCAGCTGTGATCCTCTGCAAAAGTTACAACATATGGAAGAGAAGAAAACTCTTGCTTGCTGTAGGGTAGTTAACTCTTACAATGAGCTTATCAGAAATTCTCCCCAAGTTGACCAGTCAGAGCAGTCGTTCCAAGTCTTTGTGCACAGAGTTAGTAAAGAGGAATAAAGAAGCCAGAATGTCATCACAGTGGAGTTCCCTTCACCTGGAAAGAAACAATAGGAGTGGGGAAGAATCTCCACCACCATAAAAATCAGTAACTTTTGTGCATGTGTGGGAACACACAGATGTAGAAGATCTAAAATATACCAAATTTTAGCAATGGTTATGTCTGAGTTATGAGTAACTTTTAAATTTTTTTTCTTGTGTTTACTGTACTTTCGCAGCAATAACAATAACACCAGATTGCTCACACTGTACCCTCCATGATCTGGCTCCTGCCTCGTTCTCCTGACTCCTTTACTACCTGTCTCCCCCTCGCATGCTGTGCATCAGCCAACCTGGCCTGCATTTTTTTGCCTCAAACCCAACACTTCGAATATCTTCCTGCCCAGGTCTTTGCATTTGCTGTTTCTACTGTCTGGAGTGCTCTCTTCTCTGACCAACACATGGCCAGCAACTTCTCTACATCTGTGTCTCTCAACTCAGATGTCATCTCTTCACTGACCACCCTATCTAATGATATCCTTCTACCCTATCCCACCTCACCTAGCCACTCTCTAGCCTCTTGCCCTGTTTTATTTTCTTGGTATCACATCCCTATTCAAAATGACCTTGTTTATATACTTGTTAATTATTTGTTCCTCTCACTAGAACGAACACTCTATAGAGCAGAAATCTGCCTTGTCTTGTTCATCACTATAGTCCCAGTGCCTACAACCATATCTAGTACAAAGTAGATGTTTAGTAAATACTGGATGCATGAATGAATGCACAAATGAACAGATGAACAGCTCTGTGCAAGAGGCATCATTATTCCAAATTACAGAAGAGAAAACAAACATAAACAATGTAGGTAATTTGCTCATGGCTGTACAATCAGTAGGAGCTCTGGTGGTACAGTGGCTAAGGCACTTGGCTGCTAACCAAAAGGTTGATGGTTTGAACCCATTAGCTGCTCCATGGGAGAACGACATGGCAGTCTGCTTCTGTAAAGATTTACAGCCTTGGAAATCCCATGGGGCAATTCTATCCTTCCCTATACAGTGGCTATAAGGTGTCAATTCAGTGGCAGTGGGTTTAGTTTTGGGGTATAATCAGTAAGTGGTGGAGCTGGATTTTGGTCCTAAGTCTGACCCAACACCCATACCCTTAACCACTGCACATCTCCAGGTTTTTAATGAGCATACTTTGCTTTATATAACCCATTAAGGTAATGAAGCAAAAGGTTAATAATTTCAAGAATTACAGTGCCCTTAAAATGTGCATGCATGCAAGGGATAACTATGCATGCAATCCTGTGTATTCAGCTAGGTCCTAATGAATTGTAATAAACAAAGAGGGGTCTCAGTGTCTTTGGCTGGTTTATTAAACCAAAAGACTAGCTAATGATGGGATTATTTTCCCTAACAAATATCCCCCTACGGCCACTGAGTAGATTCTGACTCATAGCACCCCTATAGGACAGAAGAGATCTGCCCCATAGAATTCCCAACTCTGTAAATCTTTATGGGAGCAGACTTAGCAAAGTAAAGCAGGGGAAAAGTCTCTCTGATGATATAGGGAGCTTTCCTCTATTTCAGTTTTGTCTCCTGAAAGAGTTCCAGTCTAGCAGAGCTTCTGTTTCTCTGTTATTTCTGAACAGAGGAGACTGTAACCCAAATCCTATCATTTCAGAGGAATGGAAAGCCCAATTCATTAAAACAGAAAGGAAGAAACTCCTCAACTACAAGGCGCGGCTTGTGAAGGACCTGCAACCCCGAATTTATTGTCCCTTTGCTGGGTATTTCGTGGAATCCCACCCATCAGACAAGTATGGCTGAACATTTTGTTCAATATCCTAACATATAAATTAATGCATGCTAGAATGAATGACTTGGCTGTGAATGCAACATGAAATGAGAAAGTGATTAGTAGGAATCTGAAGCTGATTTAATTATACTACATCTCCTAGTGCTGTGGTGAAAGTATTGGACTGCTAACCAGAAGGTTGGTGCTTCAAACCCACCAGCTTCTCCTTAGGAGGAAAATGAGGCAGTCTGCTTCAAAACAGATTTACAGCCTTAGAAACCCTATGAGGCAGTTCTATTCTGTCCTATCGGGTCACTATGAGTTGCAATCAACTCAATGGCAGTGGGTTTGTTTTTGGTTGGAGGTGATTTAAACAAGCAGCCTCAGAACAGACAATGTGAATGAAAGTCAAGCTGGGCAGCTAAAGTTAGTTAAGATTTTCCTCTGAAATGATCCCCAGAAAAGAAAAAGACGACTAATAAGCATTAAGCATGTGGTAGGAATCAAAAGTGCTAGCAATCAAACTAGAGGTTTCTAATTAAATCATCCACATTACTCCTCTCAACAACATTGTAAAGTAAGTATCATAATAACTTTTTTTTGCAGATAGGGAATCTGAAACTCAGAGAGGCTAAGGGACTTGCCCAAAGTCATCTAGTGGGACACACTGGATTTAAGAATTGATCCTTGCTATATACGATCACTATAGGCTGAAATCAACTCAACAGTAATGAGTTTGATTTTGGTTTATGCTAGCTCAAAGGAGAACTGGTGGCACAGTAGTTAGGCACTAGGCTGTTAGCCAGAAGGTAGGTGGTTTTGACTCCACCAACAGCTCCACAGGAGAAAGATGTAGCAGTGTGCTTCAGCAAAGATTTACAGCCTTGCAAACCCTGTGGGCAGTTCTACTCTGTCCTGTAGGCTATCAGAAATCAGAATCAACTCTACAGTGACAGGTTTTTTTTTGTTGTTGTTGTTTAAAATTATGTATATTTATAAAATTAAATATTATATATATATGTATGTGTGTGTATATATATATATATATATATATATATATAGTCACATATATATAAGCTCAGGCTCCTGGGAGGTGCAAACAGGTTGCTCTCCGCTACTAACTCAGAGGCCAGTGATTCAAATCTACCCAGCAGTGCTGTGGAAGACTCCTGGTAATCTAGTTGAAAGTCATTGAAAATTCTATGGAGCCCAGTTGTACTCTGAAATGCGTGAGGATTGCCATGAGTCAGAATCTAGTTGTTCACAACTATTTTTCTGTTTTTTCACTGATTAGGTCAAGTGTGAAAGCCCTTATCTCCACACCACAATATGCTCCCAAATTGAACTATATCATTATAAAATTCAGATTATCTTCTCATATTTTGGGTATCTGAAGTGCTTTCTTCTGCAGCAATATAATGTCCAGGTTTTATTTTTCAAGTATATTCTCAGAGGTCCATGAGTTTTCCATCTTAATACTGGGTGTTCCCACAAGATTTCATAAATGTGAGTATCAACATTAATGATTCTGTTTATGGTCACTTTGATACCTCATAATCACGTATAGAGTTAGAGTTAACATTTAATACGATGTTTGTCCAACGTGTCTCTATTCCAGAGTAAACTCAAACTTGGGAAACATTGTTTTAGTCAATCTTAACACCTGTCTTTATATGCCAATTGTCCTTCTCCAGGACTTCATTGTCAGGTGCTTGAACTGAGGAAGTGCTTTCTCTTTTCTCTCAAAACATAGACGTAATTGTTGCTATTTCTGAGTGCTGCAGCCACTGGATCAACTAATCTCATTGAAGGTCTTCCTTTTTTTCTTTCTTTTTTTTTAAGTTTTTTATTTTTTTATTTTGTTTTATTGTGATTTGGGTGAAGATTTACAGAGCAAATTCACTTTCCATAC